GGCTCTGTCCCCTGCACTACAACAGCTACACTACCCAGTTCTGAGATCACTGGTGGGGCTTACCCCCCTTATTCCCTAATGACCAACCACTCCTGGCAAGAGGAAGCCACAGTTAAGTCCACATTCTACTATGCCTTCTTACTTCATCACCACTTTCAACTTTTGCATCACCATCCCTCTCGGCCCCCTCTGCCCAGCTGGTCCATTGGATACAAGTCCAATAACAGATATACACACAAGCATATGTGTGAGGTTGCATCCAGCAGAAGACAATGGGGCACGTAAACACACCCCAACCTAGATAACAAAGCAATACACACATCACTGGTTATGAACAATTGTTGCACACTCCACATTGCCCACCTTAACAGATCTTTGATCTTTAATTGTTTCTATTTCTATCATGTTCCTGTTACAGAGTTCCCAGCATTTCGGCGATAGAATAACCTCGCTTGCTTTTGCTAGGTTTTGGGCCAACCGAACTTCATCCACTGCTCGGCCAATTACCAGAAAATATTGGTGCTTATTGTCTCCAATAACAACTTTGGAGATGTGACCTGCAGATAGCCCTGACAAGAGAAACAAGATTGTTATGGAGGGCATTTTTACTTTACCATTTGTAATATATGTATCTCAATTATCTTAGAAGCGGATTTTGGAGGCCAACCTATTTTGGGGGGGGGGGAGGTTTGGATCAGTTCTTGACAATATGTGATATTTATTCCAGGAATCTGAGGATTTCTAGAACAACACTCTCCAATGAATTAAACAGCATGTCAGTTAATAAATAATAATAATGCACACATAATTATAAGGGTCACACGGTAGCATCTGTTATAAGGTTACAAATTGGTTTCCATTATAAAAATCTGTTTATATCTGAAGAAGAAAGCAGTGTGCTGTAATCTTGGACTCCCATTCAGACAATATCTGGATCTATGAGATTTGTAACAAGCTGTGTTACTCTCTGTGACGTTGCAGTCTATATGGTTTTATAAAAATATGTTAATGAGTGAATATAATGTAATTGGAATATGCTTCATGCAAAAGGTCTCTTGTAAGGTATCATTACAAAGCTTATAATCTACTGAGTGTGATCATCCTATTTGTATAAATGTACCACTCTTGTATCTGAAACTAGAAATATAAAATGTAACTCTGAGGGCCTATTGTAATTATGTAAAGTGTGGGCCATTAATGGTGGTTTGGAATCTTGATGACTCCCATTAACCAGGACAATTGTCTGCAGATGGCTGTGTTTTACCTGTAAGTCTTCCTGTATACGTGTCTGCTGGAAAGTGGGCAATGAAGTCTTGCAGTGACATGTGATCATGTCACCTGAACTGGAATCCATCTTTAACCTGGTGTCTTTCCATTGAGAAGGAGGGGGTGGGAACCCAGAGAGGGACAAAGGATTCCCGCCTTATGCAAAAGATATATGAAGGGGTGGAACAGAACAAAGTGGAGGAGCCATCATGAAGAATCCCCTAGCTACCACCTGAGCTGAAACAAGAGCTGTACCAGGGGAAAAAATTGTGCCCAGGCCTGGAAAGTGTCCAGTCTGAGGAAAAAACTTACTGAAGCATCTCTAAGGGTGAGATTATCTGTATTCAGTTTGATTAGACATAGATTTGCACATTTTATTTTATTTTGCTTGGTGACTTTGTTCTGTCTTGGAGCCACTTAAATCCTACTTTTTGTATTTAATAAAATCACTTTTTACTTATGAATTAACTCAGAGTATGTATTAATACCTGGGGGAGGAAACGACTGTGCATATCTCTCTATCAGTGTTATAGAGGGCGAACAATTTATGAGTTTACCCTGCTTAAGCTTTATACAGGGTAAAACGGATTTATTTGGGTTTAGACCCCATTGGGAGTTGGGCATCTGAGTGTTATAGACAGGAACACTTCTGTTAGCTGCCTTCAGGTAAACCTGCAGCTTTGGGGCAAGTAATTCAGATCCTGGGTCTTCGTTGGAGCAGACGGGAGTGTCTGGCTCAGCAAGACAGGGTGCTGGGATCCCGAGTTGGCAGGGAAAGCAGGGGTAGAGGTAGTCTTGGCACATCGGGTGGCAGCTCCCAAGTGGGTTTCTGTGATCCAACCCGTCACACTCTCAAATTGGGCTTGTCAGCCATAAGTGGATTCATCAGATACTGACTAGACCTCTTATGCGTACACCATGATCCAGTGGATCAACAATTGCCTATTATTATACCTGATCATAAGTTTCCACAAAGTTCACCTCTTTGCCAATGAGTAATTTATTTCAAATATGGAGCATAATGTTTACACTCTTCTCATTTAAAATAATTGTTCCCATGCTTTTTTTCTTCACAGACAGATAACTCAAAAACAACTGGAGCTTGGTACTTGGCATGTAGCAAGTGCCCACTGAGGCATACATTCATGAACAAGTTTGAGAAACATTGGCTGGATAGCAATAAAGTGATATGCAATTCAATAATCCCTTCTGAACCTGCTCAGTGCAGCATCTACTAAGACTTTGAGTTGAACTCAGTAAAAAGCACTCTCTCATTTGGGACATCACTGTACATTCTGTCTGTGTGGTCTAACCAGGGGGCTAGCAAGCAGAAGGATTTTGCTCTCAGTCTGCTGCTGCTGGGAGTTTGCGTGAAGGGAGCTTGTAAATGTCTGCTTGAAAACACACACAGAAAAAACATCCAGATGTAATCTAAAACTCCCCAGCTTAATATAAGGAAATGGCAAAAGAGCAAGTTCCTGAAGATCCCAAACTGAGGTGGCTTTACATTCCTTTGCCAAACAGAAAGGAACAGAGGTACTGTGAAGGCACTTCCCACAACCCTAATGGCTAGCAACTTCCTGTTGCTTTCCATGGATGTGAAATACTCAGAAGTAGAGCTGGTAAATAAAGGGGGTACTCTTTCCACTGACAATTTCAATTCAAACAAAAAAGAAATAATTTTCATCTAAATTTTCCATTAAAATTTTTGATTTTCAGCAGAAATTCAAATGCTGAACTACTTTGGCTGAAAACAAAACAAAAAAATTGATTTGGAAATACTGCCACTTTATTTATGGGAGTTGTAGTTCTGATGCCTCAGGCTCCCATTATTCTCTATAGGTTGGGCTCTCTAGTTTGACTACTAGTATCAGAGGGGTAGCCGTGTTAGTCTGGATCTGTAAAAAGCAACAGAGAGTCCTGTGGCACCTTTAAGACTAACAGATGTGTCGGAGCATAAGCTATCGTGGGTGAATACCCACTTCGTCAGACGCAAGATCTGATGAAGTGGGTATTCACCCACGAAAGCTTATGGTCCAATACATCCGTTAGTCTTAAAGGTGCCACAGGACTCTCTGTTAGTTTGACTTCATCACCCATGATGCTTCTTAATGTCCTCTCTTAGTGAGGGGAAGTGGTTAATAATCGGAGGAGTCTTTGTTCATTGTGTACAATGGGAGATGTAGTCCAGCTAGGGAGGACATTAGATGACCAAAATACAATTCCCATGAGGCACTGTGGCAGGATTTCTAAATCGAAATATTTCAGTTTTCAGCTGTTTGGGGTTTTTTAATGGAAAATTGAAATTTTCCATGGAAAACAGACACTCTTCATAACAAAAATTGCTTAGTAGAAAACCCAATTTTCCGTTGAAAAACAGTTTTGATGGAATTTTGTCCATGAGTCCTAGTCAGAAGCTATTCAGAGACAGTCATAGCTCTGTAAAAATAAACTAGGTACAGTCAGCACCGATGAAAGGTGCCAGACTGGCACCAATAAATTGTAGTTGTTTATTCACATAATAGATACAGAATGGCCAGCTCTAGGACCAACTGCCCCAAACTGCCTCCCTAAGGTACTTCAGTAGTTTGATCCCCAAGGCCCATTCAGTCCTTGGCTTCTCCGATGAGACTGTTGTTTCTGAATGTAAGGATGGTTTACGTGTCACAGATATATGTCTGCTATGAACTAAAACGAGACCTGCAATGCATTTCACATGAGCCAGCAAGCAATCAGATAGGAACGAGTCTTGGTCACTACTTCCACAGGCTCAATTTGAACCAGCAACTTAGAGGTGAAATGTTCTTTATTCCAGTCCCCAAAATTCTCTCCTCTCTGACCA